ATACCCGTATCATTTACAAACTGGACCAAACCCATCATCAATCGCGATATCGTATCTCACACCCGACACAATCGAGGTGTTGAAGAAACCATCCCCAAGGCGTTCTTCCCAGCCAATCGTGTGCGAGCAAGGTATTTCCTCTCAGCAACCAGCAATTGCCTGGAGCACTCACATCACAAAGCAGTCTGAATCAAGTCTCGCAGCACAGATCAAGGCTTACCTGCGTCCTTGGTTAATCGAGCCCACTAATGAATGAAAGATCAGGCTCTTACTGCGTAATTTGTTGATTGATGCGACGAACCGAACCGCTCGCCGAGCCACGATGAAGGCGTTTTCGTTAGCGAAGAAGAAAACCCCGTTTCAGAAGCATCGCGAAGAGGAGGCGAAAAAAAAGGTAAGTCGTCGCTATTGGAGGATTTAGGATAATTTCTTATCTCCCAACTAATAATTGCTTTGCGTCCTTCATGTTTCTAGGTCTCAAGATGTTGCTCCAGCCTTCGTTCAATTGTAGCTTATAACCTTTCTGTTTCGTCTTTTCATGTGCCACTTATCATTCTTTTACTCTAATGTTTCGTCTTGCAGCGGGAAGCGGAGGAGGCGGCGCGTGTCTACGATGAATTCGTCGAGTCTTTTAAAGTGGATGATAAGAAACCGAAGGCATTTGTGCGAGGAGGAACTATCAATCCCAACGCCAAGCACGACACACCCGGGGAAGGTACAGCTGCTCAGTTAAGCATTTCCCGGTGCGGTTTTTTTTTTCTCTTTCCGAATGCGGCTAATTTATTCTTGGAGCCTTTTCCGCGTCATAATCACGCCTATCTTATTCTCTGCTGCCTACCTGTTTCCCCTTTTCGTTATTATCACGCGAATGTTCTCTCCATAACCCGGTATCTTCCTCTTCACGGGACAATCTGATACCAAGTGGGTTACTTTCCGGGATTCCCTTGCCGCTAGAGGTTGCGACAGACTCTTTAAAGACGGAATCGTTGTTAATTTAATAGGCTGTGATGTACCCATTTATGCTGAACATATCTCCTTTGCAGAACCTGGAAGCGCTTCCAAAAAGGCCACAGCGAGGTGAGAGGCCTTCCGGCGCCTCCTCCTATCCGACATTCCTCTTCCCTCAGCGTATCATATCATATCGTATCATCTCAGATCAGAAAGGCCTGGAAAGCTCTTGGTTAAAGCGATCTTACCAGGCTTATACGACGGTTTTCACTGAGGAGATTTACCCTGTTGAATTCGAGGATCCCATTTCGTCGTTGTTTTCGCATCCGCTCGTTTCTGTTCGGGAGGTCCGGTTAGTGTGACAGGTCAGAGGTGGTCGATGGGATTGTGTGATGGTGATGTTTCTTGTGGCAGGGATTTGGAGATAACATTAGTCTCCGTCCCTTTCCGTACCTCAATCACCCCTCACACTCTTCCCCGTCCTGCCCCGCTACCGTCTTGGCCTACCATTTTCCCTATCCCCCCACGCTCCCTTTCCCGACGCCGTTTTCCCCTTCCACCCCCCTCCTTCCGCCTTCCTTTCCGCCTCTTGTTTTGTCTTCGTCCCTCCGTTTTGCCTTCCTTCGTTTTCTCTCTTCGTGTCCGAGTCCCCTCTTGTGCTCCTTCCTGTGCTCCTTCCTGTTCTCCTTCTCGTGCTCCTTCCCGTGCCCCTCCCTGTGCCCCTCCCTCGCCGTTCGTTTGCTCCTCTGCTCGTCACGTGTATGGTGCTGTATGCATGGCAGATACGTTCCGTCATTCCTGCCGCCTCCGTCGCAAAGCCCGCTTGCTGGAATTTTATCCAAGGACAAGAATGTAGGTGCAGCGCGTTTCCTTCCGTTTTGGCTGCCTTTATCATCAACCGAGCACATTATATCAGTCGACTCAAAATTTTATACAACCATGCATGTTCAATCAAACACTTTCTGGGCGCTTCAAATTCTTCATAGTGTCGTAGCAGGGCCATGTCTGGTGACTGCACAGGGTCACTCTTGCCTACTTCCCTTTCTTCACTTCGAAGGCCGAAATGGTCCCTATTTGTAAACCAGTCATTTTCAAGCCTTGCTGGCCGTTGTCATGCTCTTCCCTCCCTTCCCCCCTCTGTCCCCTCCGCCCCCACTCCGCCCCTCTCCCACCTTTTCTCCATCATCCTGTTTTGTCTCTCTGAACCAGGAAGATCATCATCAAAACCTATCCTCTCTCACCTAATCGTCGCTCTCCTCCACCTCTCCCTTTCTCCCGTCCTCCTTCCCTCCCTCTGTCTCTCCCGCCGTCTCTCCCTCGTTCCCTTCATTCAGCCGTTCGGGGTGGATGAACCAGAGAAACCAGCAGAGCCCGTGCCAAAGGCGAAGGAGCAGAAGAAGCCGCGCAACATCGATTTCTTCATGCAGGAGCTGAAGCAGGAGCAGGAGCTGCGCGAGCAGAGGGAGAAGGAGCTCAAAGAGCGAGCGGAAGCGAGGGCGGCAGGCAAGCCGTATGGGAACGAGGGGCAGCCGTCGCTGCTGGGGAGTGAGGGGACGGATCTGCTGCAACCGTTCCCAGACGGGGTTCGAAGAAGGGTGAGTGTTGGTACTCTGTACCCTGTCTGTTGCTGATGTATGGCAATGGGGAGAAAATGTCGCTGCAGGGGAGTGAGGGCACAGATCTGTCGGCTTAGGAGGGTGAATCTGTCGCCTGTCTTGTCTTGTGCGTTCTCCCTTCCCCCCGGCCCAAGTTACCCCTTTAGTAATCATACCATCCCCTTTAGTGTTTTCCTTTTCTAAATATGTTGTGTTTGGGCCCTAATATGTTTTATGTATTCTTCTCTTGCCCCTCATCCCTGCTCCTTTTCCTAGAGCACTGACATTCTCCATGTCTTCCCCCCCTTTTTCCCCTTTCTCCAAAACCCATACCCTTGTATCTCCATCTATCCATGCAGCCGTCCAAGTTCGACACAGGCCCGCCCCTCATTGCCACGCCTCCGGGCATCACCACTGTTTCCACCGACGATGGGGGAGACCCCCTCACCACCAACCTTTATGTCGGCAACCTGTCTCCCAAGGTAAGGCGTGAAGCACGGCCTGGGGCGTGGCTTGCAATGCAACAGGTGATGATAGGGTTTCTCAGTGAGTAAGAACAGAATACATAACGGTGAGTTGTCAGTTAGGAGTGGTGAGAGTGGGTCGCCTTCTCACCACGGCCTGGAGTGTGGCATGTAACTGTTGGTGATGGGTTACGTCTTCCCTCATGTCCATTTCACCAGCTCGGGATATTTCCCGCTAAACTAGTGCCGTGCCACTGCTGGCCAGTGTCTTACCACGTGAAATGTCGGCCACCAGATTTGAGCCTAGATGGAAATAATTCTAGATTAAAATCATCCCAAGTGGACGGGAATTCTCTGCAAAGGACGTTTGAACGGTTTGGGCCGATAGAGAGTGTCAAGATTATGTGGACGCGTGGGGCTTTATAGGGAGTTTTTGAGAATTCTCAAAAACTCCCTTCATGTGGACGCGTGGGGCTTTATTCTTTGCTATCGCTTCCTTCCCTCCATTCCTCTTCTCTCTTCCACCTCCTTCCTTTGCATCCCTGTTCAGGTGGACGAGAATTTCCTGCTGAGGACGTTTGGGCGGTTTGGGCCGATAGCGAGTGTGAAGAGAAAATCATGTGATCGCGCACAGAGGAGCACCACTGGAGGGGCTGTAACCCACACCCATTGCTTCCTTCCCTCCCGTCCTCCTCCTCTCGTTTCCTCCTTCCTCCAATAAATTCATTGACAGGTGGACGAGATTTCTTGTGAGGGCGTTTGGGCGGTTTGGGCCGATAGCGAGTGTGAAGATCATGTGGCCGCGCACAGAGGAGGAGCACCGGCAACCAGCAGTGCATCACCAGCTAGTCTCCTTCCTCTCTTACCCTCATTCCTCACATCAGGTGGACGAGAACTTTCTCCTGAGGACGTTTGGGCGGTTTGGGCCGATAGCAAGTGTGAAGATCATGTGGCCGCGCACAGAGGAGGAGCACTCTTCCGCACCAACCTCCCCGCACTCTCCTTCATCCCTGCCCTTTTGCTCCCCTCCCTTGTTTTCCAGGTGGATGAAAATTTCCTGCTGAGGACGTTTGGGCGGTTTGGGCCGATAGCGAGTGTGAAGATCATGTGGCCGCGCACCGAGGAGGAGCACCGGCGGCAAGCCATGCTCTAACAACCTTCTCTCCCCCTTCACCCCCCCACACCCCATCATCATTGTCCTCTCCAGGTCGATGAGAATTTCCTGCTACGGACGTTTGGGCGGTTTGGGCCGATAGCGAGTGTGAAGATCATGTGGCCGCGCACAGAGGAGGAGCACCGGCGGCAGCGCAACTGCGGCTTCGTGGCGTTCATGAAGCGCGCCGATGCTGCCAAGGCCAAGAACGAGATGGACTGTATGTGGGGAAAAGGGGGAGAGTGGGGGGACATGGCAGGGAATGGCTGGGGGGCAGAGCGGTGGAGTTTGGGGGAGAATGGTGGGAATGGCTTCTGAGGCGCATCAAGCAGCAACTGCGGGTTTGTGGCATTTATGAAGCGTGCTGATGCTGCCAAGGCCAAGAACGAGATGGACTGTACGTCAGGAGGGAGCAGGGGATGGGGTGAGAGGTGGGGCGTGGGGGAGAATAGTGCGGATGTTTGGGAATGGCTATGTAGGCGCCTCAAAATATCGAACTGCGGGTTCGTGGCGTTCATGAAGCGCGCCGATGCTGCCAAGGCCAAGAACGAGATGGACTGTACATGCTGGGGGGGTCGGGGGAGGGCTTGGAGAGATGGTGCATGGAGGAGAGAGGGAGGGGGGGGGGGGGGGGGGGGGGGATGTTCTGGAGAGGGCTCATAGGCGGTTTAAGAGGCAACTGCGGGTCCGTGGCGTTCATGAAGCGCGCCGATGCTGCCAAGGCCAAGAACGAGATGGACTGTACATGCTGGGAAGTAGGGGTTGGGGGGGGGGGGGAAGGGGTGAGGGCGTGTGGGGAGAGGTGGAGAATGGGGGAATGGTGGGGATTGGTGGAGCGCAATGCTGGAGGCTGGGCGGGAAGAGGTTGGGGCAAAGCGGTCTCTCTGCCTTTTAGTCATCTCTTTTAAGTACTCTATTCTTTCATCACCCCACCCCGCACAAGCAGGCATGGTGGTGTATGAGTATGAGATCCGCATAGGGTGGGGCAAGGCCGTCTCGCTGCCTGCCTCGGCTCTCCCGGCGCCTCCCCCTGGCCAGATGGCAGTTCGCCCCAAGGAGCTGCCGCCCAACTCAGGAGAGGCTGTTGCTGCCAACAGCGCTGTTATTGCTAACAGTGCTGACCCGCTTGCTGCTGCTGCCGCCGCTGCTGCTGCTGCTGCGGCTGCGATCAACATGGCGAGCTTGGGAGCGGAGAACGCAGAAGTGGTAAGTGTTCTGGGGAGGCTGTTGGCTAATAGTGCTGACCCGCTTGCTGCTGCTGCCGCTGCTGCTGCTGCTGCTGCCGCCGCTGCTGCTGCTGCTGCTGCTGCTGCGATCAACATGGCTAGCTTGGGAGCAGAGAATGCGGAAGTGGTGAGTGTTCCGGGGAGGCTGTTGGCTGTTGGCTGTTGGCTAATAGTGCTGACCCGCTTGCTGCTGCTGCCGCTGCTGCTGCGGCTGCGATCAACATGGCGAGCCTTGGAGCAGAGAACGCGGAGGTGGTGAGTGTTCAGTGAAAGTTCACCATCCAGAGGTTGGCTGTTGCCAGTTTGTCATGCCAACAGCCCCGGGCCGCTTGATGCTGCTGCTGCGGCTGCGATCAACATGGCGAGCCTTGGAGCAGAGAATGCGGAGGTGGTGAGTGTTCAGTGAAAGTTCACCGTCCAGAGGTTGGCTGCTGCCAGTTTGTCATGCCAACAGCACCGGGCTGCTTGATGCTGCTGCTGCAGCTGCGATTAACATGGCGAGCCTGGGAGCAGAGAATGCGGAGGTGGTGTGTGTTCATTGAGTGTTCATCGTCCATCCATGGGGTGTGTTGCTGCCAACAGCGCTGCTATTGCTAATAGCACTGACAGGCTTGCTGCTGCTGCCGCCACTGCTGCGGCTGCGGCTGCGATCAACATGGTGATTATTCAATGAAGGTTCATTGTCCAGGGGTTTTGGGGTTAGAGGTATGTTGCTCTTACTTCACTCCTTGCGTTTTACCCTTTCTTCACCCCTCCTTACTCTTGTTACCCCTTGTTTTGCCCCCTTCCACTTCCAGGTCATCACGCCGAACGTGCCAGACATCAAGATAGTCCCGCCCAAGGATCCACATCAGCGCCACGTCATCGATACGCTGGCGCTGTATGTGCTGGACGACGGGTGCATGTTGGAGCAGGCCATCATGGAGCGCGGCCGCGGCAACCCGCTCTTCTCCTTCCTCTTTGACCTCGGCTCGCCCGACCACACTTATTATGTGTGGCGAGTCTTCTCTTTTGCACAGGTAGGTGCTTATTTCTGAGTGCTTCTCCCCTGTTTCCCTGGCACCCTGTGAGCTGCACTCTGTGTGGGACCTATACCATAGCATAGGGGGCGCACTGGCGCTGTATGTGCTGTACGGGCTGGGGGGGATGGGTGCATGTTGGAGCAGGCCATCATGGAGTGCGGCCGCGGCAACCCGCTCTTCTCCTTCCTCTTTGACCTCGGCTCGCCCGACCACACCTACTACGTCTGGTGCGTCTTCTCCTTTGCCCAGGTGAGCTACTCGCTCTCTATCCCTCTTGCGGGTATGTGTTATGTGGTGCTTCTCTCCCCTGAGCGGCTGGAGCGCCATGAGCTGCAGCCTGCAGCTGCACGGTGAGGCAAGGCAAGGGGGGCAACCCGCTCTTCTCCTTCCTCTTGGACCTCGGCTCGCCCGACCACACCTACTACGTCTGGTGTGTCTTCTCCTTCGCCCAGGTAAGAGTTGCTTTCTCTGTCTCTCGGTTATGTGGTATGCAATGCAGTGCTTCTCCCCTGCGGGACTGGAGCACCATGTGCCGCAGGAAGGGGCAACCCGCTCTTCTCCTTCCTCTTCGACCTTGGCTCGCCAGATCATACCTACTATGAGTGGCGCGTCTTCTCTTTCGCGCAGGTATTGATGCTAAACGTCAGCGCTCTTTCTGTGCTGCCACGCTATGTCTGTGGTGCAAGACTGGCACATGGTGACCGTATGCGTGTCATGACAGGGGGATACATTGCAGGCAGTGGCTAATGCAATGCAAGTCTCATGATAACCTGCATCGTTTTTCTTCCCGTATGCATGTGTGTCACAGCAGGGTGGAGAAAGACGCGTCCTGCGTCTAGGACGCATGCGTCCAGACGCAGCGTCTTAGACGCAGGACGCTAGAGGAGGGCCTTTAGGACGCATGAAAAGACGCATGCCCGGGCAGGGCAAAAAAACCCCCCGGGCAGCCGAAAAATGATGTTGTAGGGTATGGGAAGGGGGGGGGGGGGGGAAGGACGATGCACACATTTGAGGCAAAATCGTCCTCTTCAAATTTCCAGGGTTTAGGGTTTACGAAGGAGAATTGTCTTGGTAAACCCTCTAGGGTGTTTTTGATGGTCGAAATGGGTTAGGGGGGGTCGACATGACGTGAAATTGACGTCGCGTCGAAATCGTTAGGGTCAATTTCGCGCTGGGGCAACAATTTTTTCTCCGGCCAGCCCGGAAAAAATATACAGGGTGCGTCCTGCGTCTGGACGCGCGTCTTGCGTCTCTGCGTCTGGACGCAGCGTCCAGACGCAGGACGCAGCAGGACGCGTGCGTCTTTCTCCACTCAGGGAGACACCCTGCAGTGGTGGCGGGGAGGGAACCCTACATCATGATCACAGGGAGCTCCGCCGCTTTTAACAGCCAGTCTGTACTCATTATAACCTGTCTCGTTTTATGTTTCCTGTATGCCGTGTCTGTTATAACAGGGAGACACCCTACAAAGGTGGCGCACGGACCCCGACATCATGATCTCAGGCAGCGGCAGGTGGATCTCACCCCTCTAGCAGGCTCTATTCTCAGTCTCCGTATAACCTGACTCGTTTTTCTTTCCATATGTACTGTGTATATGTCCGTCACAACAGGGAGACACCCTACAGCGGTGGCGCACGGATCCCTACATCATGATATCAGGCAGCGGCAGGTGGATTCCGCCCCCTCTGCCCAAGACAGACGAGCTCGTGGGCCCCACAATTCTGGACAAGGACAAGGGCGGATCAACCTACGCTGCAGGGAAACCAAAGGTATGCTGGTGTGAGGGTGGGGGAGCATAGGTATGCGTACACTCCTTTGCCTAAGATGGGCGAGCTTGTGGGCCCCACAATTCTGGACAAGGACAAGGGCGGGTCCACCTACGCTGCAGGGAAACCTAAGGTACGTTTGTGGGGTTAACATAAGGTAAGAGAAAGGAGCATGGGTATTTATTTGTTCGCCTCCTCTGCCCAGGACGGATGAGCTCATGGGGGCCACTATACTGGACAAGGACAAGGGCGGGTCCATCCACCTACGCTGCAGGGAAGCCAAAGGTGCGGATGTTGTTGGGGGTAATGCAAGCTAAGAGAAGGGGGAGCATAGGAATTGTACCTCTACGCACCCCTTGCCTCAGTCGTCAGTTTTGGGTGGACAAGTCTGGCTGGAGCCTGTTCTCCCACCATTGCTTTTCCCTGTGCATGGCCCTTTCCTATCCCCTCAGGAGCATTCCCTGATGGAGAAGCAGAGGGACAGGTTTGAGGACTTGCTGAGGCGACTCTCTCTAGAGCTACGTTGGCAGATACGCCCTTGGGGGGTGGGCGTATTGCGTATATACGCTAGCGTATGTACGCAATACGCTAATACGCCTGGAAATCCTAAAATACGACGGGGCAGCCCGGTAAAAAAAAAAAAAAAAAAAAAAAAAACTCCATAAAAAATTGCAAGAATGAGCGACAGCGAGAATTGAACCCGCGACCTCGCACAGAGCCCAACTCCTGTCTGCAATTCGAAATTCAAAATTCAACCCCTCCCACATCCCCAACCACACACCACCCCTCTCAACCTCCCAAACCCAACCTCCCCCCTTTCACTCGTTCGAACATCTCAATCCCTAAACAGCTCCTCTTTCATTCAATCCCGCATTTCTCATCTTGCATTTCGTCCGACTCTCGTCGAGCTCAAACTCTCCTAGCTTTAGTACTTCCTCGCCATGGCGGCCCCTACTCCCTACAGTTCTAGGGCGAAATCTGCCCGGGAAAAAGTTTTTTCCTGCCCGCCCAGCGTATTTTAGCGTATCAGCAGTACGCCAGCCATGGCGTATGGCGTATATACCCAGCGTATATTACGCTAGCGTATTATACGTGATACGCGTATCTGCCAACGTAGCTCTAGAGAGGGAGGATATCTGCACCGCCATGGCCTTTGCGCATACAGTCCCTCACTCCCCTCCACGTTGTTAAAGTGCTAATAGAGTTGCGCACTCCCCTCCACCGCTCTGAACCACTGCGTGTTTATTTGCTCTTTTGCTATTCCTCCCCGCTGTTCCCCTGTTTCCCACCAGGAGCATTCCCTAACGGAGAAGCAGCGGGACAAGTTTGAGGACTTTCTGAGGCGACTCTTGCTGGAGAGGGAGGACATGTGCAACACCATGGCCTTTGCTCTCGACCACGCAAAAGCAAGCTTCCGATGTGGGGGAGGTGCTCATGGAGTCGCTCACTTCCCTCCACCGCTCTAAACCACTGTTTGTTCGTTTGTTCTCCTGCCTTGTCTTCACCCTGTGTCCTTCTCAGGAGCACTCCCTAACGGAGAAGCAGCGGGACAAGTTTGAGGACTTTCTGAGGCGACTCTTGCTGGAGAGGGATGACATCTGCAACACCATGGCCTTTGCTCTCGACCACGCAGAAGCAACCTTTCGATGTGGTGGAGGTGCTCATAGAGTCGCTCACTTCCCTCCACCGCTCTAAACCACTGTTTGTTCATTTGTTCTCCTGCCTTGTCTTCACCCTGTGTCCTTCTCAGGAGCACTCCCTAACGGAGAAGCAGCGGGACAAGTTTGAGGACTTGCTGAGGCGTCTCTCTCTCGAGAGGGAGGACATTTGCAATGCCATGGCGTTTGCTCTCGACCACGCAGAAGCAGCCACAGACATAGTCGAAGTGCTTATCGAGTCCCTCACGCTGCTCGAAACGCCCATCCCCCTTAAAGTCGCGCGCCTGATGCTTGTATCGGATATCCTCCACAATTCATCTGCGCCGGTCCGGAACGCATCAGCCTACCGGACCGCTTTCCAGGGGTATTTACCCGACGTGATGGAGAGTTTTAACGACTGTTTGAATGCCGTTTCGGGCAGGATGACCGCGGAAGCTCTGAAGGACCGGGTCCTGAAGGTGATTCAGGTGTGGGCGGATTGGTTTTTGTTCTCCGAAGCGTATTTGAATGGGCTTAGAATGACGTTTCTGAGGGCGGTTGGGACGGCTGTGCCGCCGTTTCACACTCTGCCCGAGGATGAAGAGGAGGAGGAGGAGCAAGGCGGGGCTGGGAATAGGGCTGGTGGGTCAAAGGATGCAAATAATAGCGCTGCTGCTGCTGGTTCTGGTGCCGGTGGTGCGGACAGTGTTGGTGGTGGTGGTGACACTGCTGCTGCTTCTGCGGAAGGATCAGCAGCATCAGCAGCAGAGGGAGACTCAGCAGCAGCAGAGGCTTCTGTGCCGGTCTCTCCAGAGGAGGCAGCCCGAAAGGAGCTTCTCGCACTCCCATTGGTGGAGCTCAAGCGTCGCTGCAAGCACAACGGCTTATCAACCCGAGGGGGAGTGCCTATCATGGTGGCTCGGCTGCTTTCGTTGGATGCGGCTGAACAGGCAAAGAAGGCTGCCGAAGCTGAGGCAGCTGCTGCGGCTGCTGCTGCGGCCGAAGCTGCAGCAGAGGCTCGGAGGGCGAGCATCGCGAAGCGAATGGAAGGGAGTGTGGGGTGGTCGGGATGGGTTGAGGTGAAGAAGGAGGAGAAGGAAGGGAGCAAGGGCGATGCGGGTGGGGAGGGGGGTAAGGCTGGTGCTGCTGGTGATAGTGGTGGTGCTGCATTGCCAAAGAAGTTTGTCCTGCCTACACCGGAGCTGAAAGCCTTTGGATCGAAATTGGAGAAATTGGAGAAGCTGGGTCCGCTTCTCAAGTCGGTTAAGCTTAAGTTGGAAAAGAAAGCGGTCGGTTTGCCCCAGTCAAAGTGGAATAAGGATGATGAGGATGAGGATGAGGAGGGGGGAGGAAAGGGAGAGGATGAAGAGGGGAATGAGGAGGGGGATGATGACGAGAGGGGAGGGAGGAAGGGGAAGAAGACGAGGGAATCGGTAGGTGGGAGTGATGCTGCGGATGGTTCTCATTCCGCTGGTGCTGCGGCTCCGTCCCCCTTTAAAGCTGCCTCGATTGTCTCATACAACTCGTCAGACGAAGAAGAAGGCTCACCACCCCGGCGCACCTCTGCCGCCCACCGATACTCTGTCTCTTCTGGGGGAGGCGGTATCCAGGGTAACTGGCAGATGCACTTTCAAGACCAGCAGGAGGAGGAGGAGAGGAGGGCAAAGCAGAGGAAACTAGAGCTAGCAGTTTTGGAATTTAGGGATGCTTTAGAGGCTCAGCATTTCAAGGCGTTTGAGGTGGAAGTGAAAGTTGCGGCGCACAGGAAGAAGCTTGAAGAGGAAATGGCTGCTGGCACGTGGCCGCCCATGATTGGGCGGTTGGCGTCGAGCGGGCGGCAAGCGTCGGCTGCATATGGCGCACCCCTTGGGACTCCAGGTACGCTACTGATGCTTGCTTTTTTCAGAGATTCATTTTTCCTGGATTTCCTTCCTTTTCCTTTCGAGATCTTCTGTTTGGATTTTCTGGTTCTGTGATACGTTTTTCTAACCACCCCTGGCTCTCTTTTCGACCCACCTTCACCACGATTGGATCCCATCGTCCCCCTCCGAACCCTTCCTACAATCACATCCGCTTACATTCGCTGCAATCACCTTCGCCTTGATTTGTCTCTCACGGTAAGCAGGGAGAAGGGAGGAGGTGGGGGTGGCAGCAGCAGGGGGGGAGGAAAGAGATGAGGGGAGTGAAGGGAGCAAAAGGCATGTGGTCTCTTCTGAGCAGCAGGAGCAGCAGGGAAGTAAGCACAAACGTGGACGCAACAGGAGCAGGAGCAGAAGCAGGAGTAGAAGCAGGGAGCGGGAGCGGGAAAAGGAGAGGGAGAGGGAACGAGCGAGAGATCGTGAGAGAGGGAGGGCGAAGGAGAAGGAAAGAGAGGAGAGGGAGAAGAGTGGGGAAGGGCGGGACTCAGGTAGTGATGAGGGTGATAAGTCTCAGGATAGGGAGATGGGGAAGGGGAGGGAGGAGAGGAGTAGGAAGGATAAGGACAGGGAGAGGGAACGGGAGAAGGATAGGAAAAGGGGTAGGGAGAAGGAAAGGGAAAGAGATCGGGATTTGAAGGAAACGGATTGTGAGGATAGGGATGATGAGAAAGGTGGTGAGAGGCATAAGGACAGAGGTAAGGAGAGAGAGAGGGACAGGGACAGGGAGAGGGAGAGGGAGAGTGGTAAGGATAGAGAAAGAGAGAGGGATAGGGATAGGGAGAGGGGGAAGGATCGGGAGGAGCGGGAGAGAAGTAGAGATGGGGAGAAAGGGAGGGACAAGGAACGGCAAGGAGACCGCGACAGGCACCGAGATAGTCATAGGGATAAAGACAGGGAGAGAGAAAGGGAGCGAGATCGGGAGAGTGCGAAGGACAGGGAGCGTGAAAGAGAGAGGGAGCGTGGGAAGGATCGTGGGAGGCTGAGGGAGAGAGATGAGGACGACAGGGAGAGGGAGACAGAGAAGAGGAGCCGGAGGTGAGGGCTGCAAGGATAGATGGAGGTTGGGTGTGCTTTTCAGGTGCCTCAGAAACAGGACAGAGTTATGGAAATGCAGGGGGGGGAGAGAGAGGGAGGCGGAGAAGAGGAACTGGAGGTGAGGGCTGTGAGGATAGATGGGTGGTTTTGGGAGGAGATGGGAGATGTAGGGTTACAACAAGAGAGATGGTAACAAATATACTTGTTGGGAGTTGGTTTTTCTGGCGCCTGAATCACCAAGGAAATACGCATGCTGGAGGAATCAGGAGATGAATTTAGATTCTTATAGATACTTGCTGGTACTTAGAATTTGTGAATTCGACTGGTTACTTGTCCAATTGATGTTAAGGTCTGCTGGAAAGGCATAGTGCCGTCGTAGCGGAAGCCTTGATTGTATAACAAGACAGAACAGAAGGTTTGCAATGGAATTCATTGATGCACTGGAATGATAGAGCAGGGTATTTATGTCTGCAGCTAACCCCCTCAGTGTTGGGCTGAGAAAAAGCCCTTAGGATCTTTGCAGAGGATAGCTCTAGGGTAGAAACTTGTAATAGCAGAAGCGTTTAATGAGGATTGTGAACCAACCTTGCTCTGGTGTGTGAGAGCAAAGTAGATTAAATTAAACAAGCAAATACAAGGATTTATATAAGAGTACAGGGAATACGAATGGATAGATAGATAACTGTATTGCTGTTGCGGTTCGATATAGTGCGACTCGGGCAACTGCTCTGTAACGAGTCAGTTGTGTGTCCTTAACTCTCGCGCTGTAAATGTCGAGTCAAAGGTCGCTGACCTTTGACTTTCTCGTAACCTCCAGGCGGTTACCCTAACCTCCGAGGTTGACTCGATGCTTCGATTGGGACTGCTTCGCTTGGTGCCTTGGATTTTGACACGACAGAAGCGCACTTAAGACTTATTGTTTCCAACACTCCCCTTCGCTTCTGGAGTGTCGCTGCTGGTGACGTGGCCTTGTCCAGTCAGCAGCATGCAGTATTCGAACTTCTGCTTCCCGAGCTTCTTGGTCAAGTAATCGGCTGCCATCTCAGACGTGGGACAGTATGACAGATTGAGTTTCCCCTTTTCGATCTCGTCCTTCACGAAGAAATAGCGCAGGGCGATGTGTTTCGTCCTGTTTGCGAAGCCGCTCTTGTTGGCGATGCGAATTTCCGACTGGTTGTCGCAGAACACGGTGAAGCTGGGTAACTCGGCTAGCTTCGCTTCTTCCAGTAGTTCGCGAAGGTAAAGTCCCTCCTTGGTGGCTGAGCAGAGTGCAATATATTCTGCTTCTGCTGAAGATAATGCGATTAACTCCTGCTTACTCGACTGCCAGGAGATAGGACCGATAGGCTCAAGGCGGTAGACATAGCCGGTGCGTGAGCGCCTGTTATCGGTGTCGCCGGCGTGATCGGCGTCGACGTAGCCGATTAGCTTGGTCGGTGTAGTCACGTTTTTGTGATAAGTTAGTCCGATCGTCGCAGTGCTGACGAAGTAGTGGAGAGCACGATCGAGTTCCGCCAGATGCTCTGCTTCAGGCCTCTTGAGATAGTTGGCAAGCTGGCTCGCGGAGTAGGATAGATCAGGACGGCATGTGACTGCTGCAAAGAGGAGACATCCGAGCTTCTTCTGATAGTCGCGTATGCCGGCGGGCTTGAGTAGAGTAGATTGCCCCTTTTCGGTTCCTGACGTGTAGCGGTAAGGCGTGGAGATGGCGCTTGGTGTGAGGCGAAAACGTTTCGCGATAGTGTCGGCGTACTTCTCGGCGCTTAGGTAGATTGCGTTTTCCTCCTCACGGATGTTGAGCCCGAGGTACTGCGTAACCGTAGGGGAGACCGTGAGCGTGAGGTCTTTCTGAAGCTCCCCTTCGAACCACGTGGCGATGTCGTCGGTTGAACCAATGTAGAGGAGATCGTCAACGTAGACGATTAGTAGGACGTAATCGCTTCCTTTTGTGAGGCGATACATGCCCTGGTCATGCGGGAGTTGTTTGAAGCCGATGCGGGTGAGACGGGCGTGTAGGTACTGCTGCCACAGTCGCGGTGCCTGCTTGATCCCATAGAGTGATTTGAGTAGTTGACACACTCGGTTGGGTTCGCCGTGGGAGCCGTGCGGGAGTTCGACGAAGATTTCTGCATCCACAGGTGCGTAGAGGAATGCGTTCGCAACGTCGATTTGTCGTAATTTCCTTTTCTTCATGGCGGCGACGGCGATGAGAATTCGGAGTGAGGTGTGACGGCTGACCGGCGCGAAGGTTTCGGTGTAATCTCTTCCGTGCTCCTGGTCGAAACCACGTACGACCCAACGGGCTTTGAATTTGTCGATGGTGCCATCAGCTTTCGTCTTCACACGGAAGACCCACTTCCCGGTAAGAATGGTTTTGTTTTGGGCTACGCCGATGGGAACAATTTTCCAGGTGTTGCGCTCCTCCAGTGCCTTCAGCTCTTTGTCCATGGCTTCATGCCATTTCTCCCTGTGTTCCCCCCCCAGAGCCTGTTGAACCGTCGCAGGCTCCTTAGGAATGCCGGCGCCATGGACTGCGGTGACGAGACCAAGTATCTGTAGCCCAGTCTGTGAGTATCGAGGGAGTTCTGGATCCTCGGGATAAGCTGCTTCGTCTCCCGCTTCTGGGTCGGGCATGAAATTTGGCCCTACCCTTTCTGCTTCGTTGGTGTTGACTGTCATAGGTGTTACGTAACCATCGTCGGCGAAACGGTAGAAGATTTCGGCGTTGTTACTGTCGCGAGGATTATCCTCATCCATGGGCACGTCGACGGAGCAGTATGGGAGAGGTCCGGCTTCCTCCGAGGCGTTGTCGACGTTCTGTTCGTCCCAGTCTGCTTCGTCCGCTGCTGACGCGAAGGCTCGGTCACCACGAAAACCACTGGTGAGGTCCCGATTCTCGTGCAAGTTGGCGAGGTACGTCTGAAGGGTGAGTCTTTCGTAGAAGATCACGTCACGTGCTGCCACTGTTTCCTTTGTGTGGACGTCAAAGATTCTCCATGCGTTGTAATTTTTCTCGATGCCGAGGTGTAGTCCCCACTGTGCCCGTTGCGAAAATCTTCCCGCTCGTGCTTCTGGGGGTCTGTACTGTACCATGCACTCGAAGACTCGTAACATTTTTGTGCTGCCCTGCTTCCCTGTCCACAGCAGATGCGGTGATGCGTTGTTCGGGAGTGACGACGACGACAACAAATTGTGCAGCATGACAGCGTGGTCCATTGCTGCTGGCCACTGGTGGTTGGGTAGCCGCATGCCACGCAACAGTTTGCGCATGCTGTTCTGCAGGGTCCTGTTCATTCGTTCTGCAACACCTTGCTGCTGATGTGCGTAGGGAAGGGAGAGGAGTTGCTTGATCCCCCTTTCCGCCAAGAACTGCTTGAAGCGCTGAGAGGTGTACTCCCCACCTCCGTCTGACTGAAAACTTTTCAGTTGTGTTCCAGACTCTCTCTCTGCTATCGGTAGCCAGGCGGCGAATGCTGCGAGCGCCATGTCGCGGCTGGGTAGGTTGCGATGCCAGACGTATCGAGTGGCGGCGTCGATGAAGGTGATGGTGTAGTTGTAGTTGACTTGTCCTGGTTCGCGATTGTAGAGGATGTCGCTGTAGACTTTTTCGAGTGGTGCGTATGCTGGAGCGCTCGGGTTGTGATGTGGAGCAAACGGTCGATGAGGTAAGTCAGCTTCGGGACATAGAAGGCAAGTCCCTCGTGCCTTCTGGAGTTCTCTGCCATCGGGTAGAAGTAGAGAGTCTTTGTCGAGGACTCCTGCTCTTATTGTGTTATTCAAAACCGTGTTGCTTGGATGTCCTGTGCGTGCGTGCCAGATCTCTTCAGAGGCGCGGTGTCCGGGTGAACGCTGATATGCGTCGGAGTTGGAGTAAAAGCTGGCGACGAGGTTGGCACTTCGGTGGACTTCACGTTGAGTCGGATTCAGCTGTTGCGCGGGTGTTGGTGGTGCTTCGTCGACTGTGACTGGTGTCGTTGTTCTTGCTGCTGCTGATGTTGTTGCTGCTGCCGATGTTGTTGCTGTTGCCGATGTTGTTGCTGCTGCCGATGTTGTTGCTGCTGCCGATGTTGTTGCTGTTGCCAATGTTGTTGCTGTTGCCGATGTTGTTGCTGTTGCCGATGTTGTTGCTGTTGCCGATGTTGTTGCTGCTGCCAATGTTGTCGCCTCTGCTTCTTGTTGAATCGTTGCTAACGCTCTTGTTCGTTCTGCTTCAGGGATAGTGTGGGAGTACCAGAAACCTCCCGGGCTGAAGTCGGGGTCGAGATCCGGAGGGTGTGTCCAATCAGCAAAGTTCACAATGGCGTCGCTGTATGCAGTGCCGAGGTCGGGAACGAAGTCGAGGACGAAAACGTTATTCTTCAGCACTGCCTTCCCGATGTAGAGACCGCCTCTCCCGTGGTAAAGTTTGAACTCCTGGGTCGTGCTGTCGGCTTCCAGATGAATTCCTTTCGCCATCAACTGGCTAACACTCAGTAAGTTGTAGCCGAGTCCTTCAGCGATGAGTACCTTAGACATGTGCAGTATGACATTTGTCTCTCTTGACTGAAGCTGTACCACTCCCTGTCTTCGTGTGCGCAGGTTTTGATTGTTGGCAACCGTGATGATCACGTCTCGTTGGAGTCGATGTTCGCGTTGTACGAAACGCCCGGACGAACACATGTGTTGCCCGCAGCAGCTGTCCAAGAACCAAGTGTCTTGGCCGGATGGTTCACTTTGAGCGATGGCGGCGTAAGTCGGATTCGGGTGGAGTGATTCGCGGCGAGGCGTTCTGTTGTCGAGCTCCTCTTCTGGTGAGTAGTGGGGTGGTGACTCTGTTATGCAAGAGTCGTTTATCTTGACCATGCAATTGACTATATTTCTTGCTCCTTGTGCAGGTTGTCCAGTTGAGGTCGTTGAAGCTTGAATCGTGATTGTCGAGCTTGCTTGTGTCGAAGCAACTTGGGTGCTTGAAGGCCGCAGTTGTCGCTGTGGTGTTGTCTGTCGAGACGGGCAGTGCGTGCGTGG